ACCTGATGCCGAACTGATCGATCAGCTTCCTCGCGTGCACCTCCCACATCCCCCATGTCTTTCCACGGTAGCATTTTGCTGCGGCGTCGCCGCAGATGTCGTCATCAAGCGGCAACCCATGTCCTCGAGCTCCTTGGAGAACTCTCGCTCGAACTCGCCTCCCCCATCAAATACGACTCGCTGAGGCGCGCCAAAAGGCGCAATCCAAACCTGCAACAGTCGAGCGAAAACAACCGATGGGCGGGGCGCCTTGATGCGACAGCGCCGCGCATCGTTAAACCTGAGGCCAGGTCGACCACGTTGAGGTGGACCAGCTGGTTGCCAGCGTAGTCGGCCAGGGTGAACAGGTCCACTCCGATGGAGTCGTTGAAGTCCCTGTCCAGTCTGATCCGACCCAGTAGATGTGGCAGTGGTCGCTGATGTGCTGCGCAAGCCTCGCAGTAGAGGTTGAGAGCCATATCGATGGACCTTTGCGATCCACCAGTCGCACGAATGGCTCGGGCTAGTGAATCGTTGGGCGGGTGCCCCGTGTTCACGTGGAACTGAATGATGGCGGACCGTAGTGTCCGCTCCTCCGTGGCCGTGAGCGATGGCTCCTGAGCGGCTGCGGCGGCTGGAACCGTTCTTCTTCTTGCCCTCCTCGTCGTCCATGCAGGGTGGGCTTCTCGTGCAGGTCGGCGGTTCGGACGTCGCAGCTGCTCGGCTAGCACCGTCACGAGCTTGGTCGTGTAGTTCTCGCTGCGCATCGCGTCCTTCCCGCGGGCCTCTGCGCGCGGGTGCCCCCCGCTGCAGAAGCGCCTGGGCGAGTCGTCGAACCCGAAATGGTCGGTGATGATCCGCCGCGGCTTCCTGATGCGGATCCCATTCTTCGTCTTGAGGTCGAGCGCGCAGCCGTCGAAGTCCACGACGCGCGGGAGCTGCTCCCTCAGCTGCTTGGCAATGGCGTTATTGTTGAAGCCCCATCCGTCACAGCACCTCGGCCACTCAAACGAGACGGCAAGCTGGACGCCGAACTCATTGCGCAGCCTTGACATTGACTGCAGGAACAGGCCGATCATCTGCTTGGACTTGGCCCGATCCCTTCTTAGCGTGGGGATCTTGCTCGGGTCGATCTTGACGACGAGTCGTTGTAGCGATGTACACGGCTGGCATGGAAACGCAGCGTGAACTCGCACACTCTGGCCCGCGGCAAGGTGTTTCCGGACCCTGCCCTCCAGCTCCTGGACCACGAACTGCTTGGAGAGGTCGAAGCCTGGAAGACCAGACCTGACAGCAGCTCCCCCCTTCTTCTTCCAGACGGCGCTGAGCTTGCTGTCCGGGTTGCAGCACCACTCGTTGAGCACGGTGCTGTTCGCAATGGAGGTCGGGCTGGATCTGGTTGTAGACTAGGCCAGGTTAGTAATCGAGGCCTGGCCGATCTTGTGCGGCTGGGTGCCGCTCTTGCTGGTGACGAAGACTGAGCGCTTGCCAGCGATCAGCTGCGGCTTCGCCCCCTTCTTGAACGTCCTCGCGCGTAGCTGCTCCCCCTCCACGATGTTCGCCTCGGGTCCGGGGCAGCCGCTGGCGATGGCGCCCTGGCCGCGGCGTAGGGCCACGGGCGTGCCGAAGACGCAGTCTGAGCATGACCCTCGGTGGCTGCAGGCCTCGAAGGTCGTCTCGCCACAGGCGACGCAGTCCTGCAGGGGCTCGGTCACGCACGTCGCGGGGCAGGTCGGTAGGTCGTCTGCGGCAGCGTCGCTGGCGCGAGGTTCGGAGCTGGAGCTGCGGTGGGGCAGCAGACCAGGGCTGAGGCTACGGTCGAAAGCAGCCGCGACCCCTTCAGTCGACGAGTCTGTAGACGTCTCGGAACATTCAGCTCCTTCTTCGTGACGAGGTTGTTGATGGTGCCGATCAGCGCACTGGTCCTGGTAGCGTTGTTGACCGCGGGCTGGTCGCCCGCCCTCGTCATCCGACCCCGTCGGTCGAGCGTCTTCTCGACCTTTACGTACAGAGTCTTGTCCAGCTGTCGCTTCCTTCCGGACGAGCTGGCCGCGCTGGGCGGTTGCTCCATGCCGACGTCCTCGATGGTTTGCCAGTCCTCTGGCTGCAACTTGATTGCGGGGTGGCCCGCTGCGTTCGCGGTGAGCTTCTGGGTGGCGTTCCCGATGCGAATCTGGCCCTTCCACAGAGAAATGTCGATATTGGAAGGCTGGGTGAAGTCGCGGCCGATGAGCAGACGCAGCGCGGGGCTGTCCACGACGCTGAACACGACGCGGCCAGCCTGACCGCACAACACAGGCGGCGCGGTGACGCGCAGCTTGCTTGGGAGGGCACCTCCGTTGCCGAACCCGTAGACCTCGTCCTCCGGCTCCTCGAGGATCTGGTCGGCAAGCCCCATCCTCGTGAGGATATCCTTGTAGTTGTTGCACCACTTCTTGCCCGAGGCGCAGAAAAGGCAGGCGGCGTCGACCGCGCCGACTCCTCCGTCCACGGGCTTGTCACTGCCGATCGCGACGTTCACGTTCGGCAGTTGGTGGATGAGCCGCTCCGAGACGCAAGTCTCTGGGGGCGGCGTGAATGGCCTGCGGGTGCAGGGCGATCTCCTCGTCCGCGAACTGGACCTGCTCGGCGATGTGCGCCTGGCGCTGAGGACGGCCTCCGCCACCTCCTCGCCCACCGCCCTCTGACTTGCCGTACTTGGGCGCGAACTTGCGAGCACCTGGCGTGGGACACTCCTTGTCCCCTGTCCAGTGTCCGGTCTCGCCGCAGCCCCAGCAAGAAGCGTTCCTCTTGCGCTGGTCGACCCGGCTCTGTAGCTTGGTCGGGCGGCGGTTCTGCGCGGACTTCGCCCTGCCGCGGCCCTTGAGGGCCTCCCGAGCCGATCTGACGGTGGCCATGGCCTTGGGAATAGCGGCAAGTTCCGCTGCGGCAGCTTCGACCTCGGCAGGGTCGTCGCCGTCGAACAGCTCGGAGATGTCTACGTTGGAGGACTCGAGCTGGGCGCTGAAAGCCTCGAGCTCCTGGCGAACCATGTCCTGGACGTCGGTCTCGTCCCCGTCGCCTCCCTCTTGCTCTTCGTCGTTCTCGTCGCCCGGCTCGTCGACGACATTGGTAGAGCGCCCCCCGCGGCTGGGGGAAACGCTGCTGCGCCAGCCGCCGCGCGAGCGCGACTCGTTGGCCCATGACCGCGACGGGGGAGCGCGGCGCTCCGTCGCACGCACGTCCGGGAACATCCTGACCAGCAGCCCGCGGATGCGCTGGTAGCCGGAGTGCTCGTCGGGCAGGTTGCCCACGACACACTCTCGGCGCTCTGCCGTGGGCCCAGCCTTGCGCATCAGGAACCATCCCGCCACGTCGTCCAGCGCGTCGAGGTCCACTTCGTTCTCGCGTAGCTGCTGCAGCCCAGTATCGAATCGGATGAGCCAATCCGTCATGCGTTCACCTCTTCGTCGGCGATGTTGAGTCGACTCGGAGAACTGTTCGAGGGTCTCGCCCTTCTGCACGGGCTTCTGCTGACCCGACTTCGCCTCCAGGGGTTGTAGCACATTCTCGATGCCGACCTGGTTCCTATTTCGTTTCTTGTCATCGGGGTCTTCAGTGTCTGCCGCGGCTGCTGGATGCAGCTGCGCCTCCGTCATATTTAGTGCTGCACCGCGGGCAGTCCCACTTAGCTTCAGCACGAGCTTCGATGCGGGGCTGTGGGCCACGGCGAGGTCCTCACTGAGCTTCCAGAGCTTGACCTCCTGTTTGTAGTCTCTCCATTTTGCCGGATCGCTATTCCAGGTAGGGATGACGCTGCACGCATAGCTACCCGTCATTGTGTCAAGAATGAGATAGTGAGCCGCGTCGCTGACACTGGCGTCGAGGTAGGCGTTGATGCTGGTGTCGCTGACGCTGGCGTAAGAGAAGTAGGCGTTGATGCCGGCGTCGCTGACGCTAGCGTTGGAGAGGTAGGCGCTGATGCTTGCGTCGCTGACGCTGGCGTTGGAGACATAGGCATTGATGCTGGCGTCGCTGACGCTGGCGCTGGAGAAGTAGGCGCTGATGCTTGCGTCGCTGACGCTGGCGTAGGAGAAGTAGGCGTTGAAGTCGGGCTCGCTGACGCTGACGTAAGGGAAGTAGGCGTTGATGTCGGCGTCGCTGACGCTGACGTAAGGGAAGTAAGCGTTGGAGGCGCAGATGTTGGCGTCGCTGACGCTGGCGTAGGAGTTGGCAGGGTAGGCATTGATGACGGCGTCGCTGACGCTGTCGTCGGAGAAGTAGGCGTTGATAGCGTCGCTGACGCTGGCGTAGGCGCTGAGCAACAACGCGAGCAGGAAGCCGCTGGGCTTCGATTCCGTGGGTCGCGACGGCTTCGTCGTGGCTGCACAAGAGGATGGCGCGCAGCGCCAGGATATGAATGGCGCGCGGCGCCGGGCAGCTGAGACTCGCTCCAAGCTACCACTGTACTATGGAAGATAGTCGATGAATCTTCTTACTCGCGGCCTCGCGAGGGGCGTTACTCTAACGCCAAGGGCCCTAGTTCGAAATGAAACGGCAGCGGCGAGCAAGGGATGAAACACGAACCCCTCGGGAGCGAGCTTGATTCACATCATCATCATCATCATCATCATCATCATCATCATCATCATCATCATCATCATCATCATCATCATCATCATCATCATCATCATCATCATCATCAAAATCAGCACCAGCATCGTCATCATCATCACCAGCATCATCAGTTTCATCATTATCAGCATCTTTATCCTCACCACCACCATGATCAGCATCATCATCATCATCCTCATCCTCATCCTCATCCTTATCATCAGCAGCATCATCATCATCAGCAGCAGCATCATCATCCTTTACACTCCCTGTTTCTGGGGGGGGGCAATCAGCACCTTCCACTAATAAAAACTATTCCGTCATCCCCCCTCCTCCTCATCACCACCATCATCATCAGCATCATTCTCATCACCTCCACTCCTTCTCCTTTTCCTTCTCCTCCACCTCTCAAAATGGGAGGGCGCGACCTCCTCTCTGCGCTTCTTTTCCGCGGCCTTGATGTTGTTATGTTTCTTCTCCATCGCGGTCTCCTGCCACTCGCTCGTTGAGAGCAGGGGGAAGGAAGACGTGGACCCGCGCTCGGACTGATGAGCGGTGCTACGGGGAGCCTCCGCTGACGAAGATCTCCGGCGGGCTCGCCGGAGACCGCCACCAGAAGTAGGGCGTCTGCAGCATCCATGGAGCTGGATGGAGCGAGCCCGCCAGAGATCATTCTCTGCCCGCCAGAGATAGAGGACTGGTGTAGGAGACCATCCTCTGGAGGGGTAGGGGAGCACAAGAGCTGGGGGTGTCCTGGTGGGGTCCTTGGATCGAGGATCGAGGATCGATCGAGGATCTAGGATCGAGGATCGAGGATCGAAGGATCGAGGATCGAAGGATCGAGGGATCGAGGATCGATCGACGAAGGCCCATGCCTTCTGAGAAGCCCCCCCCCGGCCTTCTCAGAAGGCCGCCCCACTCGGCCACCCTATTTTGAGCGCCCCAGTGGGCTTTAGCTGTACCTTGAGGCGCTTTGACCAAAACTGCGCGCCGCCAAGACAGGGGGGTAGTGGGCTCAGACTGATGAGCAGGTCGGGCTCTCATTCCGGGTGCCTTCCCTCGATGGCTCCCTGGCGCTGCAGGGCGCGGGGAGAATGATGAGGATGAGGAGGAGGAGGAGGAGGAGGCACCCCAGAGCAGGTCCTCCTCTGGGCACGGGGACGATGGTCCTCCTCCCCCTGCCTCTGCCCGTGCTCTCTGGCGGCCGTTCGGGACGCTCCAGGGCACCCCAGGAGCGCTCTCGGCGAGGCGCAGCCGCTGGAGGGCATCTCGAGGCTGGAAGACCGCCGAGGACCGGCGAGAACCCCGAGCCCTGAGCAGATCCCCCCTCCAGCGACCCTCGTCCCCTCTGGCTCCCCCCGGTGATTGTCCTTCGCCAAGATCGCCTGGTTCCTCCTGTCCTGGTCCTCCCTTCGCCTCTCCCCGAGGCGCCTGCGAGCCTGCGCGGGGCGTCGGGGGGGGAGGGCGTGGGCATCGGGCGTCGGGCCGCTGGAAGAGAGCGAGCTCGAGGGGGTTGCGAGGCAGAATGGCACACATGCATCATCCCTCCGCCTCCTCCTCCGCCTTGACCTCCGCCTCCTCCTCCTCCTCCTCCTCCTCCTCCTCCTCCTCCTCCGCCTCCTCCTCCCTCCGCCTCCTCCTCCTCCTCCTCTTCCTCCTCCTCCTCCGCAGCAGCAGCATCGTCCTTCTCCGCGTTCTCGTCCTCATATTCGTCGCGTGTATATCATCACCTTTGCAGGGTCGATATGGTTGTTGTCGTTTTCGAGATGCCCATGCCGTCATTGAGCTGGTGTATCAGGTATGCTGATGGCGCCTCGTAGTGCGGCAGGGGATCGTCGAGCACCTTCTGCGCCGTCCTTGGCCGTGCCCTTAGCTGCTCTGTTGCCGTCCACCGTAGTTAGAGATACGCTGGCCACTGGTGGCGTCATCGTGTCGCTCGGAAATGGTCTTGGTTGTTGCTTCATGGCTGTGTCGACTCCTCCTCCTCCTCCTCCTGCTCCTCCTCCTTCTCCTTCTTCTTCTCCTCCTCCTCCTCTTCATCATCATCAACATCATCACCAGTATCAATGTAATCAGCATGGCCATCATCGTTATCATCATCAGCAGCATCAGCATCATCATCATCATCATTTCCATCATCACCATCATCATCATCATCAGCATATGCAGCAGCAATATCATCATCATCATCATCATCATCATCATCATCATCATCATCATCATCATCATCATCATCATCATCATCATCATCATCATCATCATCGTCATCAGGAGCAGCAGCAGCATCATCATCATCATATCCTCATCATAATCAGCATCATCAGCAGCAGCATCATCAGCAGCATCATCATCATCATCAGCATCACAATCATCAGCAGCATCAGCATCAGCATCATCATAAGCATCAACAGCATCATCATCAGTAGCAGCATCAGCATCACCATCATCAGCATCAGCATCAGCATCATCATCAGCATCAGCAGCAGCATCAGCATCATCACCATCATCACCATCAGCATCGTCAGCATCATCACCACCATCATCATCAGCATCATCATCCTCGTCATCCGCATCCTCATGCTTATCCTTATCATCGTCCCCATCCCCATCCTCATATTAATCCTCATCCTCATCCTCCTCGTCCTCCTCCTCCTTCCTAACTCCCTCTCTCGCTCCATCCATCCATCCATCCACCCATCCATCCATCCATCCGCCATCCATCCCTCGCTCTCTGTCTCTCTCGTTTCCTCTTCTCTCTCTCTCTCTCTCTCTCTCTCTCTCTCCCTCCCTCCCTCCATCCATCCCTCCCTCCCTCCCTCCTTCCCTCTCTCTGCCACTCCACCCTGCTCCAACCCCTCCTCATGCTCCGCTTCCTCCTCCTTTTTCAGCCGCCTCCTTCTGATCCTCCTCCATCCCTTGTCCTTGTATATAGCTCTTACCTGTCGCACTCCCAGACGTGTCAGTGGTGCGGGCTGCGTTGTTCGCCTCATACTTCCTCACATGTATCGTCCTAAAGCTTGACAGTTGCTTCAGCGTCGAGGATGGAGGGCGGGTCCTTTTCAAGATGTGGTTCTCGCTGTAGCGCCGCCCACAATCGTCTTATTTGCACCAAGCTTCAGGGATGGAGGGCGGTCCGTTTCAAAATGTTGTTCTCGCCTTAGCGTCGCGCAGATTCGTCTTGAACGTTTGTGGCGCCCGCGCTAGCGCCACGCATATCATTCTGGCAGCTTGCAACAGCATCAAGGATGGTTGGCGGCTCCTTCTCAAAATGTCGTTCTTGTCTTAGCGCCGCACACATTCGTCTTTTAAACGCTTGCAGCAATTTCAAGGACCTGTCTACTTGAAATTCCAAAAACGGGATTATGGCACGATTTGAAACTGCCAGGACGCAACAGTCACAATGATTCGCGGTGTCGAGGTCTCAAGGATGGTGCTCTCGCACGATTTGGGATTGTCAGGACGCGCAGCGCTGACGTCCCAGAAATGATGATTTTTGGCACGATTGAGGATTCTCAGACGAGTCTTCTAATGGGGGCACTTCCCGCGAAACAAAACAATTTTGTAGCGATCTAGGACGAAGGAATTTGGAGGAAGGGATGATTGCAACACCGGTGGTGCGTCTTGGGTTGACACAGATCCTCCTCCTCCTCCCTCCTCCTCCTCCTCCTCCTCTTCCTCCTCCTCCTCCTCCTCCTTACCGTCGTCCCCCCCCCTCTCCATTGGCACTCCGCTTCCGCCGGGATAGGCGACGGAAGCAGGGAAGGAAGAGGAGAAGGAGGAGGAGGATAGCGCGAGTCCGATAGCGTGAGCGAGTCCGAAGCACGACAACAAGTGCAAAACTCATGATGTGGGATGCAGCGGACGGCGGCGCGCACCATCTCGTCCTTCTCCTTCCCCTCCTGCAGCCTCTTGAGTCTGAGCACCTCCTCCTCCCTGATCTTGGCCACGTCACTGACAGCCTGGCGGGACCGGTCATGAGATCGTCGGAACGACCACGGGCGAGGCTGCAAGGGAACCAACGGGGGCACGGAGTTCGAGCGCAGGGAGCGCAGGGGGGGGCCAAGGAGAACGCGTCGCTGACGGCCTAGCGGGGCCGCTCAGGAGATCGTCGGCACGACCAAGGGCGCGGCGGCTGCAAGGGAACCATCGGGGGTACGGAGTTCGAGAGCAGGGAGCGCGGGGGTGGGCCAAGGAGACCATGCGGGCCTGCTGCCCCGAACACACACGGGGTGGCGCGAAAACGGATGCAGGCACACACCCCCCCCGCGGGCCGCCGAGGGCAGGGCTTCCGAGTAGCCCTCGGTGTCGGCGGAGAGGAGGGCTTCCGAACCTTCTGGGAAGGCCCTCTCCTTGTCGGGAGCCTGGGCGCCTCTCCATCCCTCCATCCCTCCCCGTGCATCTCTACCTGGGCGCGCTCTGGCCAGAATTTCGAGGCGAATCCAGCCGTGGCGGCGAGGGGCTCCAAGGAGGCCCAGATAGCCAAAAACGAGGCACGGATCTGCCAGGTCCTGACTACATGAATACAAGCACAAACATGAACAACTACATTTTCGTGTAAGAAATCCGGTCCAGCTTCCCCGACGTTTCTTAAAGGAAACCTGGGCCAATTTCTGTTGATGACGCTGGAGGGGCAAGCGTGCTCAAAACCAGCTTTCTGGCAAGCCGATTAAGAAGCGCTAGCCCAGTTTTTAGGGGGGAGGTCTCCGAATCAGACGCTCGACTGTAGGTCCCCGGAATCCCCGATCTTTTTCCTGGGACTGGCCTATCATCCCTAATCGTTTTTTGACTGTCCTGGGGCCCGGCGAAGGCCCCCAGAGGCCGAAAGCGGCGAAGAAATTCCGTCTTGATCTTCCACTAATTACGCTGGATCTCAGCGTGCCCTTCCCTCTGACGCACCCCTCCCTCTCCTCCTGGGCCGGCCTGATCTCGCAGCACCTTCAACCTGTCGTCCGCCCTGGACTCCGCCCGGGCCGACCGCCAGCCGCTGGAGCGGCCGCTCTCGCGCGCCTTCGCCGCGGAGGCCGCGGGGCGCGCGCGAGTGGCTCGGGTCGGCTGCGGCGGGCCTGGATCTCCGACGACCCACACATCCTCTTCTGTATCCCACCAACAACAGCTCCACCTCCACACTGCACATCCTCTCGATTTCACCCCACACTCCACCTCCACACTGCACACTCTCAACTGCACACTCTCGACTGCCACGACGAGAGCATGTCTGGGCAGGCACGACCAAGACATGCTCTCGTAGCTTAAAACATGTGACGGGAAGTTCTTGGCCGTTTTCGGCCTCCGCGGGCCTTCGCCGAGTCCCGGGACCGTAAACAAACAAAAAAAAGACTCGAGATGGAAAGCCAGTCCCAGGGAAAGGGTAGGGACCTCCGGGGACCCCGTATTGAAAAAAACATGGCGTCGCCTGGCTGGGCCTGGGGTGCCGGAATCGCTCCAAGCGGCCGACCGAGGCCCCGTGGCTTTCGGATCGGTCTGGGGCCGAGGCTGGCCCTGGATGGACTCCTGGGATAAATCGGGGGACAGACATCGAGCGAATTGTGCATGGAGGAGGAAGAGTTGGCGGCGCGCAACCAAAGGGTAGGGGGAGGGGCAGGGGGGAAGGCTTCTTAGAAAAAGGCTGTTCTTTAGAAGGCGCCAGCCTTACACCTGTAGATAACGGTCGCGCCTTCTAAGGAGCAGCCTCGTTCTACGAAGCTGTTCCCCCTCCCCCATGCCACCCTCTGCGCGTGGCCTAAACAGGAGGAGGAGAAGGAGGTGGTGGGTGGCGGTTGAGGCGGAGGAGGAGGAGGGGCAGGAGGGTCGAGATTCGAGGGCCGAGGCGCGTTCCCCAAACAGTGCTCGCACGTAGGGGCCCTCACTTGTTTTACTAAGGCATTGGCTGGGGTGACCCGAAGATTCTTTGGATGGCCGCCACGTGGCCGCCCATGGCCGCCCCATGGCGACACACGCGCCCTGTAGATTACACATCTGGAATACAGTAACTTATTGCTCGGGGTCCACGCTGGCAAACTTGTACTTGTTTCTTCCGCTCGCCGCCACGGCCGGCCTCCCCGCGAGTTTCTGGTCGGGAGGCGCCCCTCGGAGAGGTCCGAGGGCGGATTCCTTTGTGGGGAGAGGGGTTTCGGCCTTCGGGCGTAGCAAAAACTCTTGCCCAAGAGCAGCGCCGACTGGCTGCTGGCTGCTGCTGACTGGTGTTCCGCCGCCCTCGAGAAAAATCCGCCGATCCGGCGTGTGAACTACAAGGAGCCTCAGCAAGAGCTTCAACTCTGAGCCTAAGCACGAGCTTCAGCTCTGCTTGGGGGGGGTCGCCGGGGGTGGCTCTGCCGGTGAAGGGGGGAGGGGGGGGGGTCCTCCATCTGGCGTTTTCTTTATGATTCGCGTAGCCGGACCCCCGTCCCGGGGAAGGGGGGGAGGGGTGGGGGCGGTCCCTCATCTGGCGTTTTCTTATTGATTCGTGCATCCCAAAGATGTTTCGGGGGGTCCCAGGGACCCCCCTCAGATCTAGCCGCTACCGCCCCCAGGACCCTCCCCTCGGAACCCTCCCCATACCCCCCTGGGACCGCTCCAGGCACCCCCCAGATGAGAAGAAAGAGGACCAGAAGAATCCAGGAGGGAGGAAGCTCTGTACGCGAAGATCACCGAATCCGGAGCCCCCCGGATCGGCGGCACTGGCCGGAGGCCGTTACAATATGACACTGCTGGCCAGCCCAAAACAGATCCACCAGAACAGCCAGAACCGCTCTGACACCTCCGCGGCCCAGCGCCCGCGGGCCACTGGCCCCTCGGAGAGGGAGGAGCTGCACCGCAGGGGGGGGCAGAGGGATGGCAGGAAGGACGGGGGCATGGCAGCAGGGGGGGATCGGCGAGGGGTTCGCCGACGATCGGCGGCAACCCGAAAGTTGCGAGATGGCGCGACCGCTCGCGGGTTATGGTCGTCACGTAAACTTCAAAGTCATCTCTCCCCGCCCCCCGCTCGTCATATTCCTGCCCCCCTTCCCCCCGTCTCCCCCATCGGACTCCTCGTCCCCTCTCTTCCCTTTCTCTTTTTCCGTATGCCCATTCCCCCTCTCCCCCCGTCCTCCTCTCCTTCACCCACTTTTGCGCGCAGCCTGCACGCAGGCCCGATACCCCGATAAATGAATGGAGCCAGCTTTCGCTGCAAAGCCCGTTGCCCCGCGGCCCGCGCCGCGTTCCGCCCTCGTCTACGTATTGCCCTACTCTCATCCCCCTCCCCCCAATCCAACTTTCCCCTGCAGACCTCCCGACTTGCGATGCCTCCTCGGCCCCGCGTTCTTTTGTCGGTTCAAGATGCGAGCGAGGGTATCCATAGGAATATATCGCACTATCGCTGGAGTGCGTGCGCACGCTGCCACGTACCCCGTCAGAGCGCTCTGCATATATCATTGTTCCCTACCTAGGCTCTGCCTAGAAGGGTTCTTACTCTCTTGGCTTAAAGGGGCCGGGCAGTGTAGAACGCCCCGGGCGGTTCCCCCGGCATCCGCCCCGCGGTTCCCCCAGTTGCGCCCCCTGGGTTCACCCAGCTTAGCTTAGCTAAGCTTAGCTTAGCTTAGCTTGGCTTGACTTGGCTTAACTTAGCTTAGCTTAGCTTAGCTTAGCTTAGCTTAGTTTAGCTTAGCTTTGCCTAGCCTAGCCTAGCCTAGCCTAGCTCAGCTTAGCTTAGCTTAGCTGATATCGTCTTAGCTTAGCTTAGCTTAGCTTAGCTTAGCTTAGCTTAGCTTGTTTGGCTTTGTTTAGCTTAGCTTAGCTTAGCTTAGCTTAGCGTATCTCAGCTTAGCTTAGCTTACCTTAGCTTACCTTAGCTTACCTTAGTTTAGCGCAGCGCAGCGCAGCATAGCGCAGCGCAGCATTAGCACAGCATAGCATACCATAGTATAGCCAAGCATCACATAGCATAGCATAACATAGCTCAGCATAACATAGCATAGCATAGCATAGCATAGCGCAGCATGGCATAGCATGGCATATCATAGTATTGCTTAGCATAGCACAGAGCAGCATATCATAGCATAGCACAGCACAGCATAGCATAGCATAGCGCAGCATAGCATAGCATAGCATAGCGTAGCGTAGCGCTGCATAGCATATCACAGCATAGCATAGCATAGCATAGCATAGCATAGCATAGCGCAGCATAGCATAGCATGGTATAGCATTGCGCAGCATAGCATAGCACAGCGTAGCATAGCGCATCATAGCTTAGTATAGCATAGCATAGCACAACACAGCGCAGCCGAGCGTACCCTAGCATAGCATAGCATAGCATAGCGCAGCATAGCAAAGCATTGCAAAGCATAGCAAATCATAGCATATCATAGCATAACATAGCATAACAAAGCATAGCATAGCATAGCGCAGCATAGCATAGCATAGCATAGCATAGCATAGCAGCAAAGCAAAGGCAAATCAACAGCAGCAACAGCAAAGCAAGGCACAAGCAACGCAAAGCCGGACCTGCAGTGCTGAACAGCCTGCAGCTCTTGTAGATGTAGATGTAGATGCAGGTGTAGATGCAAATGTAGCTGTCGGTGTAGATGTAGATGTTGCTTCATCTCCTAGGTAGGGTCGCACTGGGATAATTTGTTTGCTTTTCTCGGAAGGGTCCGCGGAACGTCGCCAGCAACCGAGATTAGGCTCGCGGATATCAGGCAACGAAGGACGCATACCGTTACAAGACTGCAGCAGGATTCCAGCGGGAGTTAGCGATCGCGCGCCCGTGGTGGCATCAGCTGTCGGCCTGTTGAATTGTCCTGGAGCTCCATCAGAATACCCACAAGAAGGTCGCGAAGGGCGAGGCCAACGACCTCGACGTGCGCTGCACAATCCAGAAGAAGAGTCGCGAATGACCCGGGCGGGCGCCGCGATCGCCAGGGTTTCGCTTGCTGTCACGGAGGTCCCCCCATGGGCCCCAGTGCAAGTTTCGTGGCGCATCCAACAGTTGCTTGGGGAAAACCATGGAAAGCCTTGCAAAGCAGGGCGAGATGTCCCAGATGGGCCCCGAGATACTAGCAACGGGTTTGGCTGGCGTCGCGGCGTAGGTCGCTTTCGTCGCCAGCATTCCCACAGCGGGCGCGAAAGCCCGCGGGGACATCGCGAGGACATTCGGGCAGCCTTGGGAAAGGCCTTGGGACTGCTGACGGGTTGCGACAGGCAGTGACAAACCCAAACAGGGCCCAAGCAAATGCTGTTGTCGTGCGGCGCGCGTTGTTGTAAATATGTTGGATTGCGTGTTCGGTGGGTCAACGAAGACGAACGCCCTCGCGCATGGGCCGCGCGGAACGGCGTTGCCACCACGGTGCTGGCTCGTGCCGTGGAGTGGCATGAAATCTCACTCATCAGGCAGGGCGTCGTGCATCACCATGCTGTTCCTGTAGCGGCTGACGTGGGCCTCGTGCCCCGGCGCCCAGCTCCAGCCCACCGACGCCTCGCGCTCGCAGGGCACCTGCCAGGAAGAGAACCCCTCGAACACAGCCTTGAAGTGAGCGGCGTGCTCCGGCCCCGCTTAAGGAAGTTGTGCAGGAACTACCTGTCCTCAGAACGCAAAGAACGAACCAGAAAGACCCGCCCACCGATGAACGTCAGCGGGGCTGCATAAGATCCCATTGGCACCACATTCGGCCAGATGATCAGCACGCTCGTTCAAGTATTGACCAGTATGGCTTTCTCCCTGACAAGACCATGACAAGCAACGTGTTCAAAGATGTAACGGACACGAATAACAAGTCGAAAGCTTGTCCGTCCCCAGGCGTGCCGCTGAACCACGCCAACCACGTACCCCGAGCCATACTCGACGATGCTAGGAGGTGACGAAGGCAATGTAGCAACGTGATCACGAGCCCTGGAAATAGCGAAAAACCAAACAGAAAGCTTGCCTTGGATACAGCGAATATATATATATATATGTATATATATATAACATGCATTGCTGGAATGATAATCGGCACCGATGTCTCCAGGCGCATTCGGGTCCAGGATGGTGGGCCCGCAGAAGTCCTGGAGTGAGGCCCATGAGGGTGAGGCAACAGGAAAGACCCAACCAGAAACATCGGTACCTGGCCCAGTTTTCGCCGACCCATCACACGAAAGCAGAAGGGCATCGCGTAGTCGAAGATTACCAAGGGTAGGCTGCTGAGGGAGCTGGTCCCACCTCGGGCCTTCCGGAGGTCCCCCCCAGTTCGAAGGTCGTACCGGAGCCGATTCGATTGGTATGCAGAGAAGGTCACACTTCCCTGCGAAACCATGCGTGACAAGCAGATCCAGCAGCAACGCCCAAGTAGTTGGGCGGCAAATTCCGCATCCCCGTAAAGATGCAATCTCCACCGTTTCGTCGTCATCGAAGTCGTGGTCGACGGCGCTGTTGCTCCCGTACTGCCCAGCGACTGGTTCCCGCAATCTGAAAACAGCCTCAAAGACCTCAATCGCACACTCGGTGACCATTGCCGCCGGCACGGAACGGTTGCGCAGGTGCGTGTACTTGCGGTTCTCGGTGACCTACGTGGTCACCTCGATAAATACTTTCTGAACTAGAACCCTCATGGTGCTGCCATGCTGGCTGGCTCCGAGCTGCTCCGGGATTGTATTTCCGATCTGTGCTGTGGCTGCCCCTGGCACAGCAAAGGGCGAGCCGAACATGGCGGCGAGGGATTATGCCGCAGCCGTGGGGTGATTGATGAGGCTCTCCTCTGAAAGGAAAGGCTCTCGCGAGCCACCTCCGAAGCCAGCAGCCCGAGCCTCGCATGAGGCCAAAAAAATGCCACGGAATCCTGCATCTTGACATGTTCAAACATGACAGGGACGGACGTTGGTGTCTTTCGAGAGATGAGAAACATGGCCTAAAGGGCAGACCACCGGTCTTTCACGAGGATGACCCCGTACTGAGGAGGGAGCACGCGGCAGGGCATGCAGTATCGCTGATGCATCTTGGGTCTCCTCTAGTCCACCTACTCCCCATTCCCATTCTGCATGATGCTTATATATCCTCAAATTGATGACCCTTACCATGCCCTCCCTCCACCTCACAAGTATCCTCATCCTCATCTTCATCCTCATCCTCATCCTCATTCTAATCCTCATCTCCTCATCCGCGTCCCCCTCCTCAGCCTGCCTCCTGCTACTCCTGCATTGTCCCCCTGCACCCTCCTCCTCCTCCTCCTCCTCCTCCTCCTCCTCCTTCTCCTCCTCCTCCTCCTCCTCCTCAACAGGAGGCGGCCGCGCGCACCTCGGAAGCGAGGTCCCGCACCAGCAGCTTCTCCGCGGCCTCGTCGGCCAGCCTGGCGGCCACCTCCTCGACCTCGCGCCGCCGCCGCTGTCGCCTGCCTGGCCGCTGTCGCGCTCGAATGCGCTTCCCTGACAAAGATGCGAGGCGGGGATATGTCCATATCCGCCGCCTGGGGAACCGACTGGGACCAAAGCGGGCGGTGGACATGGATATGTTTGCCCCCACCCCAGGGCCCAAATAGGTACATATCCACCGCATGCCGACGTCTCCCGAGGTCGACCCCCCAGGCGGCGGTTATGGGGAAACCCCCGCCTCAAAAAAGATCCTTCGGGGTGGCAACACACCTTTACAACGAGTAACGCTCCCATGGCAATTGAAGCTCGAACGCGGTTTCCCAAGCCAGGCTACACAGCGGTGTCGGCGAATGCCGCCCGAGCTTGTACCTTATCTGTCGCTGGCTCGTGCAGCCGAACGCTTGAAGAACCCATCATGATTATCATCATCATCATCATCATCATCAGCAGCAGCATCATCATCATCATCATCATGATCATCATCATCATCATCATCATCATCATCATCATCATCATCATCATCATCATCAGCAGCATCAGCATCATCATCATCATCATCATCATCATCATCATCATCATCATCATCATCATCATCATCATCATCATCATAATCATCAGCATCAGCATCACCATCAGCATCATCATCATCATCATCAGCATCATCATCATCATCATCATCATCAACAGCAGCATCAGCATCGCCATCATACTCATCACTATCAGCAACAGCAACAACAGCAACAACATTATCATCATCATCATCATCATCATCATCATCATCATCATCATCATCATCATCATCATCATCATCATCATCATCATCATCATCATCATCATCATCATCTCGAGCGTGTAATCGAATCGATAAGTCGGATGGGCGATCAAAAACATGCGATAGCTGGCCGTTCAGCTCCGCGAAGCCAGAGGCTGGGAAAAAACGCGAGACACTGACGCTTAGGGACTGGGACGTGGACATCATGTCGCTCCGAAACCTCTTTCGACGGGCACCACTGGTTCCGGCACGCCGACCCTTCTGCCAGTGACGACGGGTCAGACCACTCTGACCACTCCAGGCCGGGTCACCCACCTGACCCACCACCTGGCACCGCCCTGGCTAATCCCCCAGGCACCGACCCTGGGGAACCCGCGCAACACAGCGCACCGCTCCACCGTCGCGTCTGCCAGCGACGGAAAA